AAAGAAAATCTGGTTAAAACCCTACAACATCAGTAATATTACCAAGCACTATCTAAAACCTACAATATCAGTAGTATTACCAACTGCCGTATAAACGAATGTGATGGCCTACCTTCACTTTCTTCTACGTCATCCTTCGTCCCCGGGAAGAATTCCAATTTAGGATACTTGGATCTCTGCCATTAAACTAAGAAAACCAACTCTTAACCAGAAGATGAGCGCATTTCCACTACATACACTTACTTGTGAAAATGTTAGGAAATAACGGAAAAGAATTTCAAAAGATGAATCCATGACAAAAGAAAAAAATACAGAAAACAGATGAATAACCAGAACCGGTGAATATATATATATATATATATGCTGTTGGGAACGGATAACAGAATTAATCAAAATCCGATCTTTTGAATAAATAGATAGCTAGGCACCTAAAACCAAAAATTCTAAGAGGTCACTGAAACTCACTTTGCTTAATAAATGGTATGATTGTCCTTCCTCTCATCTGTTTTCCTATTATTCCTTGAACTCGATGTTAAAGAAACGCGTTGATCAAAACATAGATAACTCATAAAACCAGAAATTTGATAGTCAAGTCAATTTCTTCCTCTTGCTGTTTCTTCTTCGAGTGGACATAATGCTCAGTAGCAGTAGTATTCCACTCATGATATGACTAGAAATATGTTACACTGAAATGAGCATCTTACAGCTATGTATCGCTATTAATATCTTATCGATCAGCTTTTACATATTTCCTTAAATATTTTGATTATATCCGGTTAATTGCATTGCGATTTTAGTTACTTAAGAGTAAATTGAACGGACTAGGCAAAATTCTAAATATATAATAGGTTACTTTGTTATCCTTCAAGTTTGAAATGTAGCATGAATGGCTATGTATCTTTGAAATTATTTCCATGACATACGCTCCAACCGTGCCTCAGTGCTAAGCCTAAGAGTTTATAACGTTAAAATTCTGTGGTCGAGACCCACTATGGGCACAGCACAGTTATCTTATTGTGTAGCTTTGCGCTTGAAAACAAAATTTCCTGACGTGTACGAAACAAGTTATCAAGGGCTTTTAAGATGGAAAACTCACTAGTAAAACAATGAAAAACACTTAATTAAGAACAGGGTGAAAGAAGGATTGTTCAAATGCAGAAAGACGTAATTAGTCTAACAGTAAAATGTGGAATGTTCAAGAACACTCATAAGTTTTGTAAAATCTAAAGCACTCAAATGAAAATAATGTGTTTTTGTCTATATTGAATCATTTTTCATTATTTTAAGATAGCTCCCAATTTGATCATAACCATCTTTCAACAAGAACTCAAAATCTTCAATAAAGAAGAGGTGCTTTTTCCACACGTGGTTACAACGTTTTGTCCTATAATATATGTTACCGGGATATATTATTTTTCAATTCACATACATGAATAATTCACAAGTATAGCCTGCTTCCTGTACCCTTCAGCTCTGGTTATACTTCGTGTTGATGTTGTCACCCAACCACCACATTGTAATTAATATGGTTTCTGCTATATCTTTGAATGTTCTAAACGATTCACAAACGTGGTCTATATTACAACACGGTTTTAAATCTCTTGTCTTTTGGTGCTGAATCTCATCAAAGATCATTGTTTATTTAGTTATATCATGCTGATTGTTTGACAGTGTATTAAGTTCCTGCTTGGCTTTATTAGCATACATCTTCAATGTTTTTGAACTTTTTGTGAACATTCACATCGAACACAAAATCCAGTTATTATTAGTCCCTATGATTCAATTACGTACATAAACTCTTATTAAAATTTTATTAAGCTACGCGTAGAGCATGTTATGAATACCTCCTCCCAATCTTTACTGATCCTTTTGATCTAGTTAAAACAAGCTCTAATTAAAACCCTCCCAATTTTTACTAATCCTTTTGGCTCAGTGTTTTGTATTCGATATTTCCAACCTAAACAGCATTTTATGTGACACGTGAGCTCAAAGATTTGATCGGTGACCCCTAAGGCTCAGGCATAACCACCCCTAGTTTAATACTACTGACCAGAGGGAGGGTAACAGAATATCAGCACACGCCACACCGAAGATCAAGATTATCTGTCACTATTGTAGTATCTGCATAGCTGAAAGTGAAAAGCGTGTTCAAAGCCATATCGCAGCTCAAACCTTGGACACTTCGATCCGCAGCCCAATGAAATGCTAACTGTTACGGTCTGAAAATGAATTAACTGATAATTTAACTTTAGTTGTTAAATTGTACGTTGGATTTAGTATTTAAATATATGCCGATATATCTCCAATTTATGATATTTGCCAACAAGATTTATACACACAGTTTTCTTTTTTAACACAAAATTTTTTTTAGTATACAAACGACAATACAAATTACAATAACAGTTATTACATATAATTATTACACACAATGATTTATAAACAAAAGTTTCACAAACTTACCAGCAATATAAAGTCTTCTTTCTAGTCTGAAACTTCTTCGATATCTTATCGAGGGTTCACGATGAGCGAGTTAATTCGAAGTTGATGTAAGTACGATTCGCTTCACGGGGAGCTAGCTAGCTTTGTCCTTCGTTATTCACCAGCCACACACGCCGAGTTATATAATGTTTTCATGAAAGTACTAATGTCCGATGAGAATCCACTGAAGTTAAATGATTTGTAATGTTTGAACTTTGTAAATGCTCCTGGTCAAATATCTTAAATTTTCCGATTAATAAGCGTTATAATAATCACAGTTATAGCTTCCGAAGTTTATAGCACACCAACTATAGCAAACTAATAATGGGTACTCTTTTTTTGGCGCGTCGCGTTGGTTATATTTATAGGCGTGTGAAGAGTTTGTAGAAAATTCAGATTACGTAACAATACAAAGCTACATTTAAGCGTTTACGTGCATACATCTATTGTTGGTTCTTACTCTCGAGAATATTCTACAACTTTGGAGAATACGCAAGAGTTTCGCTTTACTTATTTAACAGTATAAGCTATGTATGTTTCTAAATTTAATTTAATCTAAACAAACGTCGATATCAAAATAAATGTATAATAACAAATCCGTCACATAACCACTAGGGCAGGTCCTGCTTAGAAAAAAATAATAATCTTTTCATAAAAATAAAATAGTATTTTCTTTAGAAAAAGGCTAGAGGCAATGCACATAGAACCAAAGAAAAAAATCATGGCGCAAAATGACTCGAGTATTGTGTAGATTCATATACTTAATACTCTGTATGTTATGGAACACAGATCCAATAAATTATTATTCATTCTTCAATATGTGGAAAGAAATAACAAGTGAGAAAAGACCAAATAAAAGGATATACAACATTAAGAAAAGACCTAGACAGAAAGATAAAAGAAGTTAGAAGAAAATAGAAAATTGGCATGAAATTGGTAAAGAGGTCAACAAAATCTTGCAAATCAAAGTAGTTGAATGAGAAAAAAAAACTCCGTAAGAGCAAAGTTGATACCAAAACAATTACTATTAAGTCCCTTTCATAAGGTTCTATGTGTTTGGATCCCACGTGTTACTGGCCCCCCAGTGGCACAGCGGTATGTCTGCGGACCGGGTTTCGATACCCGTGGTGGGCAGAGCACAGAGAGCCCATTGTGTAGCTTTGTGCATAAATTCAAACAAACCCACGTGTTACTGAGAAAGAGAACGACAATGATTAAAAAAATCAGCTTTAGAATAAAAGTAGAGAAAGCAGTTAGATTCTTATATATATACATATATATATATATATATATATATA